TCACACACCCACCCACTCACCCACCCACCCACCCACTCACCCACCCACCCACCCACTCACCCACCCACTCACTCACTCACCCACTCACCCACCCACCCACTCACTCACTCACCCACCCACCCACTCACTCACCCACCCACTCACTCACTCACCCACTCACTCACCCACTCACTCACCCACTCACCCACTCACCCACTCACTCACTCACCCACCCACTCACCCACCCACTCAACCACCCACCCACTCACCCACCCACCCACTCACCCACCCACCCACTCACCCACTCACCCACCCACTCACCCACCCACTCACCCACTCACTCACCCACTCACCCACTCACCCACCCACCCACCCACTCACCCACTCACTCACTCACCCACCCACCCACTCACTCACTCACCCACTCACTCACCCACCCACTCACCCACTCACCCACCCACCCACTCACTCACTCCCCCACCCACCCACCCACTCACTCACCCACTCACTCACCCACCCACCCACCCACTCACCCACTCACTCACCCACCCACTCACCCACCCACCCACCCACCCACACACCCACCCACCCACCCACTCACCCACCCACCCACTCACCCACCCACTCACTCACTCACTCACCCACTCACCCACTCACTCACCCACTCACTCACCCACCCACCCACCCACTCACCCACTCACCCACCCACTCACCCACTCACCCACTCACCCACCCACTCCCCCACTCACCCACCCACCCACCCACTCACCCACCCACCCACCCACCCACTCACCCACCCACTCACCCACCCACTCACTCACTCACCCACCCACCCACTCACCCACTCACCCACTCACCCACTCACCCACCCACCCACTCACCCACCCACTCACCCACCCACTCACTCACTCACCCACCCACCCACTCACCCACTCACCCACCCACCCACTCACCCACCCACTCACCCACTCACCCACCCACCCACTCACCCACCCACCCACTCACCCACCCACCCACCCACTCACCCACCCACTCACCCACCCACCCACCCACTCACCCACCCACCCACTCACTCACTCACCCACCCACCCACCCACCCACCCACTCACCCACCCACCCACCCACTCACCCACCCACTCACTCACCCACTCACCCACCCACTCACCCACTCACTCACTCACCCACTCACTCACCCACTCACTCACCCACTCACCCACCCACCCACTCACTCCCCCACCCACCCACCCACTCACCCACTCACTCACTCCCCCACCCACCCACCCACTCACCCACTCACTCACCCACCCACTCACCCACCCACTCACCCACCCACTCACCCACCCACCCACCCACTCACCCACCCACTCACCCACTCACCCACTCACTCACTCACCCATCCACCCACTCACCCACCCACCCACTCACCCACCCACTCACCCACCCACCCACTCACCCACCCACTCACTCACTCACCCACTCACACACTCACTCACTCACCCACCCACCCACCCACCCACTCACCCACCCACCCACCCACCCACCCACCCACTCACTCACTCACCCACTCACCCACCCACCCACTCACTCACTCACCCACTCACCCACTCACCCACCCACCCACTCACCCACCCACCCACCCACTCACCCACCCACCCACCCACTCACCCACCCACTCACTCACTCACCCACTCACCCACCCACCCACTCACTCACTCACCCACTCACCCACACACCCACCCACCCACCCACTCACCCACCCACTCACTCACCCACCCACCCACTCACTCACTCACCCACCCACTCACCCACTCACTCACCCACTCACCCACTCACCCACCCACCCACCCACTCACCCACCCACTCACTCACCCACCCACTCACTCACTCACCCACTCACTCACCCACTCACTCACCCACTCACTCACCCACTCACCCACCCACCCACTCACTCACTCCCCCACCCACCCACCCACTCACTCACCCACCCACTCACTCACTCACCCACCCACTCACCCACTCACTCACCCACTCACCCACTCACCCACCCACCCACCCACCCACTCACTCACCCACCCACTCACTCACTCACCCACCCACTCACCCACTCACTCAGCCACTCACCCACTCACCCACCCACCCCCCCACCCACTCACCCACCCACTCACTCACCCACCCACTCACTCACTCACCCACTCACTCACCCACTCACTCACCCACTCACCCACCCACCCACTCACTCACTCCCCCACCCACCCACCCACTCACTCACCCACCCACTCACTCACTCACCCACCCACTCACCCACTCACTCACCCACTCACCCACTCACCCACCCACCCACCCACCCACTCACCCACCCACTCACTCACCCACCCACTCACTCACTCACCCACTCACTCACCCACTCACCCACCCACTCACCCACCCACCCACTCACCCACCCACCCACCCACTCGCCCACCCACTCACCCACCCACCCACTCACTCACTCACCCACCCACCCACCCACTCACCCACCCACTCACCCACCCACCCACTCACCCACCCACCCACTCACTCACCCACCCACTCACCCACCCACCCACCCACTCACCCACTCACCCACCCACCCACTCACCCACCCACTCACCCACCCACTCACCCACCCACCCACTCACTCACTCACTCACCCACCCACCCACTCACCCACCCACCCACTCACTCACTCACTCACACACTCACTCACCCACCCACCCACTCACCCACCCACCCACTCACCCACCCACCCACTCACCCACCCACCCACCCACTCACCCACCCACCCACTCACACACCCACCCACCCACCCACCCACTCACCCACCCACCCACTCACCCACCCACCCACTCACTCACCCACCCACCCACTCACCCACCCACCCACTCACCCACCCACCCACTCACCCACCCACCCACCCACTCACCCACCCACCCACTCACCCACCCACCCACTCACCCACCCACCCACCCACTCACCCACTCACTCACTCACCCACTCACCCACCCACTCACCCACCCACTCACTCACTCACCCACCCACTCACTCACCCACTCACTCACCCACCCACCCACCCACTCACTCACCCACTCACCCACTCACTCACCCACTCACCCACTCACCCACCCACTCACCCACTCACCCACTCACCCACCCACCCACCCACTCACCCACCCACCCACCCACCCACTCACCCACCCACTCACCCACTCACTCACCCACTCACCCACCCACTCACCCACTCACCCACCCACTCACCCACTCACCCACTCACTCACTCACCCACCCACTCACCCACTCACTCACTCACCCACTCACCCACTCACCCACTCACTCACTCACCCACCCACTCACCCACTCACCCACCCACCCACCCACTCACCCACTCACCCACTCACTCACTCACCCACCCACTCACCCACTCACCCACCCACCCACCCACTCACCCACTCACCCACTCACCCACTCACCCACCCACTCACCCACTCACCCACCCACTCACCCACTCACCCACTCACCCACCCACCCACCCACTCACCCACCCTCCCACCCACCCACTCACCCACCCACTCACCCACTCACTCACCCACTCACCCACCCACTCACCCACTCACCCACTAACCCACCCACTCACCCACTCACCCACTCACTCACTCACCCACCCACTCACCCACTCACTCACCCACTCACTCACTCACTCACCCACTCACCCACTCACCCACTCACTCACTCACCCACCCACTCACCCACTCACCCACCCACCCACTCACTCACTCACCCACCCACTCACCCACCCACCCACCCACCCACTCACCCACCCACTCACCCACCCACTCACCCACCCACTCACCCACCCACCCACCCACTCACCCACCCACTCACCCACTCACTCACCCACCCACCCACCCACTCACCCACCCACTCACCCACCAACTCACCCACCCACTCACCCACTCACCCACCCACCCACCCACCCACTCACCCACCCACCCACTCACCCACTCACCCACCCACCCATCCACCCACCCACTCACCCACCCACCCACTCACTCACTCACCCACCCACTCACTCACCCACCCACCCACCCACTCACTCACCCACCCACCCACCCACCCACTCACTCACCCACCCACCCACTCACCCACCCACTCACCCACCCACCCACCCACTCACCCACCCACTCACCCACCCACTCACCCACCCACCCACTCACTCACTCACCCACCCACCCACTCACCCACCCACCCACTCTCCCACCCACCCACCCACTCACCCACCCACCCACTCACTCACCCACTCACCCACTCACCCACCCACTCACCCACCCACCCACTCACCCACCCACTCACTCACTCACCCACTCACCCACCCACCCACTCACCCACCCACTCACCCACCCACCCACCCACTCACCCACCCACCCACTCACCCACCCACCCACACACCCACCCACCCACCCACACACCCACCCACCCACCCACCCACCCACCCACACACTCACCCACCCACTCACCCACCCACCCACCCACTCACCCACCCACTCACTCACCCACCCACTCACTCACCCACCCACTCACCCACCCACCCACCCACTCACCCACTCACTCACTCACCCACTCACCCACCCACCCACCCACTCACTCACCCACCCACTCACCCACTCACCCACCCACTCACTCACCCACCCACTCACCCACTCACCCACCCACTCACCCACTCACCCACCCACTCACCCACTCACTCACCCACCCACTCACCCACTCACTCACTCACTCACCCACTCACCCCCCCCCCCCCCCCCCCACTCACCCACCCACCCACCCACTCACTCACCCACCCACTCACCCACTCACTCACCCACTCACTCACCCACCCACTCACCCACTCACCCACCCACTCACCCACTCACCCACCCACTCACCCACTCACTCACCCACCCACTCACCCACTCACTCACTCACTCACCCACTCACCCACCCACCCACCCACTCACCCACCCACCCACCTCATGGCCACGTTGCTCCCGTCAATGACGATGGGCCTCAGGTTGCCGCCGTTCTCCTCCGCAGGCGTGGGCGGGGCCACCGCCGCCGGTGGGCGGGGCCCAGTGGCCGGCGTGGGCGGTGCCACCGCCGCCGGTGGGCGGGGCCCTGTGGCCGGCGGGGGCGGGGCCGGAGGCTCCTCCCCCAGGGGGCGGTCCCCCGCGGGATCGGTGGGAGGAAGGGGCGGAGTGATGGGGAGTGGGGGTTGGTGGGTGGGTGGTCCCCCCCCACCAGCTCCCCCCCCACCAGCTCCCCCCCCACCAGCCCCCCCTTGCAGCAGGATGAGCTCCCCCAGGAGGTCATTGGTGAGCGCATCCTCTCCCAGCTTAGCGAGAACCGACTGGACCTGGCCATGGGAACGTGGACATTACCACTCGCCCACCCAACCACTCACTCACCAAGTGGGTGGGTGGGTGAGTGAGTGAGTAGGTGGGTGGGTGAGTGGGTGGGTGGGTGGGTGAGTGAGTGGGTGAGTGAGTGGGTGGATGGGTGAGTGGGTGGGTGGGTGAGTGGGTGAGGGGGTGAGTGAGGGGGTGGGTGAGTGGGTGGGTGAGTGAGTGTGTGGATGGGCGGGTGAGTGGGTAGGTAGCTAGGTAGGTGAGTTGGTAGGCGAGAGGGTAGGTAGGCGAGTGGGTAGGTGAGTGGGTAGGTAGGCGAGTGGGTAGGCAGGCGAGTGGGTAGGCAGGCGAGTGGGTAGGTAGGCGAGTGGGTAGGTAGGCGAGTGGGTAGGTAGGCGAGTGGGTAGGTAGGCGAGTGGGCAGGCAGGCGAGTGGGTAGGCAGGCGAGTGGGTAGGCAGGTGAGTGGGTAGATAGGCGAGTGGGTAGGCAGGCGAGTGGGCAGGCAGGCGAGTGGGTAGACAGGCGAGTGGGTAGGCAGGTGAGTGGGTAGATAGGCGAGTGGGTAGGCAGGCGAGTGGGTAGGCAGGCAGGCGAGTGGGTAGGTAGGCGAGTGGGTAGTTAGGCGTGTAGGCAGGCGAGTGGGTAGGCAGGCGAGTGGGTAGGTAGGCGAGTGGGTAGGCAGGTGAGTGGGTAGGCAGGCAGGTGAGTGGGTAGGCAGGGGAGTGGGTAGGCAGGCAGGCGAGTGGGTAGGTAGGCGAGTGGGTAGGCAGGCGAGTGGGTAGGTAGGCGAGTGGGTAGGTAGGCGAGTGGGTAGGTAGGCGAGTGGGTAGGTAGGCGAGTGGGTAGGCGAGTGGGTAGGTGTGTAGGCAGGCGAGTGGGTGGGTAGGCGAGTGGGTAGGCGTGTAGGCAGGCGAGTGAGTAGGTAGGCGAGTGGGTAGGTAGGCAGGTGAGTAGGTAGGCGAGTGGGTAGGCAGGTGAGTAGGTAGGTAGGCAGGCGAGTAGGTAGGCGAGTGAGTAGGTAGGCGAGTGGGTAGGCAGGTGAGTAGGTAGGTAGGTAGGCGAGTAGGTAGGCAGGTGAGTGGGTAGGCAGGCGAGTGGGTAGGCAGGCAGGCGAGTGGGTAGGTAGGCGAGTGGGTAGATAGGCGAGTGGGTCAGTTGGCGAGTGGGTAGGCGAGTGGGTAGGCGAGTGGGTAGGTAGGCGAGTGGGTAGGTTGGCGAGTGGGTAGGCGAGTGGGTAGGTAGGCGAGTGGGTAGGCGAGTGGGTAGGTAGGCGAGTGGGTAGGCGAGTGGGTAGGCGTGTAGGCAGGCGAGTGGGTGGGTAGGCGAGTGGGTAAGCGAGTGGGTAGGCAGGCGAGTGGGTAGGCAGGCGAGTGGGTAGGTACGCGAGTGGGTAGGCGAGTGGGTAGGCGAGTGGGTAGGTGTGTAGGCAGGCGAGTGGGTGGGTAGGCGAGTGGGTAGGCGTGTAGGCAGGCGAGTGAGTAGGTAGGCGAGTGGGTAGGCAGGTGAGTAGGTAGGTAGGCAGGCGAGTAGGTAGGCGAGTGAGTAGGTAGGCGAGTGGGTAGGCAGGTGAGTAGGTAGGTAGGTAGGCGAGTAGGTAGGCAGGTGAGTAGGTAGGTAGGCGAGTGGGTAGGTAGGCGAGTGGGTAGGCAGGCGAGTGGGTAGGCAGGCAGGCGAGTGGGTAGGTAGGCGAGTGGGTAGATAGGCGAGTGGGTCAGTTGGCGAGTGGGTAGGTAGGCGAGTGGGTAGGCGAGTGGGTAGGTAGGCGAGTGGGTAGGTTGGCGAGTGGGTAGGTAGGCGAGTGGGTAGGTTGGCGAGTGGGTAGGCGAGTGGGTAGGTAGGCGAGTGGGAAGGCGAGTGGGTAGGTTGGCGAGTGGGTAGGCAGGCGAGTGGGTAGGCGAGTGGGTAGGTAGGCGAGTGGGTAGGTTGGCGAGTGGGTAGGTAGGCGAGTGGGTAGGTTGGCGAGTGGGTAGGCGAGTGGGTAGGTAGGCGAGTGGGAAGGCGAGTGGGTAGGTAGGCGAGTGGGTAGGCGAGTGGGTAGGCGTGTAGGCAGGCGAGTGGGTAGGTAGGCGAGTGGGTAGGCGAGTGGGTAGGTAGGCGAGTGGGTAGGTAGGCGAGTGGGTAGGTAGGCGAGTGGGTAGGTAGGCGAGTGGGTAGGCGAGTGGGTAGGCGTGTAGGCAGGCGAGTGGGTGGGTAGGCGAGTGGGTAAGCGAGTGGGTAGGCAGGCGAGTGGGTAGGCAGGCGAGTGGGTAGGTACGCGAGTGGGTAGGCGAGTGGGTAGGTAGGCGAGTGGGTAGGCGTGTAGGCAGGCGAGTGAGTAGGTAGGCGAGTGGGTAGGTAGACAGGCGAGGAGGTAGGCGAGTGAGTAGGTAGGCGAGTGGGTAGGCAGGTGAGTAGGTAGGTAGGTAGGCGAGTAGGTAGGCAGGCGAGTAGGTAGGTAGGCGAGTGGGTAGGTAGGCGAGTGTGTAGGTAGGTACACGAGTGGGTAGGCAGGCGAGTGGGTAGGTAGGCGAGTAGGCAGGTGAGTGGGTAGGTGAGTAGGAAGGCGAGTGGGTAGGTAGGCAGGTGAGTAGGTAGGCGAGTGGGTAGGTAGGTAGGCGAGTGGGTAGGTAGGCGAGTAGGCAGGCGAGTGGGTAGGTAGGCAGGTGAGTAGGTAGGTGAGTGGGTAGGTAGGTAGGCGAGTGGGCAGGCAAGTGGGTAGGCGAGTAGGTAGGTAGGCGAGTGGGTAGGTAGGCGAGTAGGCAGGCGAGTGGGTAGGTAGGCAGGTGAGTAGGTAGGCGAGTGGGTAGGTAGGTAGGCGAGTAGGCAGGCGAGTGGGTAGGTAGGCAGGTGAGTAGGTAGGTGAGTGGGTAGGTAGGTAGGCGAGTGGGCAGGCAAGTGGGTAGGCGAGTAGGTAGGTAGGCGAGTGGGTAGGTAGGCGAGTAGGCAGGCGAGTGGGTAGGTAGGCAGGTGAGTAGGTAGGCGAGTGGGTAGGTAGGCGAGTGGGTAGGTAGGCGAGTGGGTAGGTAGGTAGGCGAGTAGGTAGGCAAGTAGGTAGGTAGGCAAGTAGGCAGGCAGGCGAGTAGGCAGGTGGGTAGGTAGGCGAGTGGGTAGGTAGGTAGGCGAGTGGGTAGGTAGGCAGGTGAGTGGGTAGGCGAGTGAGTAGGTAGGCAGGTGAGTAGGCAGGCGAGTAGGCAGGCGAGTGGGTAGGTAGGTAGGTAGGCGAGTGGATAGGTAGGCAGGCGAGTGGGTAGGTAGGTAGGCAGGCAAGTGGGTAGGTAGGTAGGTGTGTAAGTAGGTGAGTGGGTAGGTAGGTAGGCGAGTGGGTAGGTAGGTAGGCAGGCAAGTGGGTAGGTGAGTGGGTAGGTAGGTAGGCGAGTGGGTAGGTAGGTAGGCGAGTGGGTAGGTAGGTAGGTAGGTGAGTGGGTAGGTGAGTAGGTAGGCAAGTGGGTAGGTAGGCAGGTAGGCGAGTACCCTCACCTGCGCCTCCGCGTAGCCCAGCTTCAGCGCGAACTCCATCTTGGCCAGGTACTTGGGGCCCGGCGCGGCGCCCTCAGCCTGCCCCGGCCTGGCCGCGCGGCCCCACGGCTGGGCAGGAGGCCCCAGGCAGAGGGAGCGGCACAGCCGCCGGTGGGGTCTCCCGGGGTCCCCGTGGGGCTCCTGGGGCCCCCGAGGTTGTGGCCTGGTGCCGGTGCCGGTGCCGGTGCCGGTGGTGGAGGCGGTGGTGGAGGCGGTGGTGGAGGCGGTGGTGGTGGTGGAGGCGGAGGCGGTGGTGGAGGCGGAGGCGGTGGTGGAGGCGGAGGCGGTGGTGGAGGTGGAGGCGGTGGTGGAGGCGGAGGCGGTGGTGGAGGCGGAGGCGGTGGTGGAGGCGGTGGCCACCGTCGCCGGAGCGTCGGAGTCGTGAAGGTGGCGGTGGTGGCGGTGCTGCTGGTGGAGGTGGTGGAGGTGGTGGCTGTTGTAGTTGTTGTTGGCGGTTGTTGTGGTGGCGGTTGTTGTGGCGGTTGTTGTGGCGGTTGTGGCCGGGCCAATGTCGAGGTCGGACTCGCACAGGGAGAGGATGTAGCCCTGGTGGGGGGTGGGGGGTGGAGTGGGGGGTGGGGTGGGAGGAGTGATTCACTGACTCACTCAGACACTCACTCAGACACTCACTCAGACACTCACTCAGACACTCACTCACTCAGACACTCACTCAGACACTCACTCACTCAATCAGACACTCACTCACTCAAACACTCACTCAAACACCCAGACACTCACTCACTCACTCAGACACTCACTCAGACACTCAGACACTCACTCACTCAGTCACTCCCTCAGACACTCACTCAGATACTCACTCAGACACTCACTCAGACACTCACTCAGACACTCACTCACTCAGACACTCACTCACTCACTCAGACACTCACTCACTCAGACACTCACTCAGACACTCACTCAGACACTCACTCACTCAGACACTCACTCAGTCACTCAGACACTCACTCACTCAGACACTCACTCACTCAGACACTCACTCACTCAGACACTCACTCATACACTCACGCACTCATACACTCACTCACTCAGACACTCACTCACTCACTCAGTCACTCACTCACTCAGACACTCACTCACTCATACACTCACTCAGACACTCACTCACTCAGACACTCACTCACTCAGCCACTCACTCACTCAGACACTCACTCACTCAGACACTCACTCACTCAGACACTCACTCAGACACTCACTCACTCAGACACTCACTCACTCAGACACTCACTCAGACACTCAGACACTCACTCACTCAGTCACTCACTCAGACACTCACTCAGACACTCACTCACTCAGACACTCACTCACTCAGACACTCACTCAGACACTCACTCACTCAGACACTCACTCACCCCCTCACCACTCACCCCTCACCTTAGCGAGGCTCCGATCTCTCGTCCCGGTTCCTCTGATCACAATCTGGACACTCACTCAGTCACTCACTCAGACACTCACTCACTCACTCAGACACTCACTCAGACACTCACTCACTCAGACACTCACTCACTCAGACACTCACTCACTCAGACACTCACTCACTCAGTCACTCAGACACTCACTCAGACACTCACTCACTCAGACACTCACTCAGACACTCACTCAGACACTCACTCACTCAGACACTCACTCACTCAGTCACTCAGACACTCACTCACTCAGTCACTCAGACACTCACTCAGACACTCACTCACTCACTCAGACACTCACTCAGACACTCACTCAGTCACTCACTCACTCAGACACTCACTCAGACACTCACTCAGACACTCACTCACTCACTCAGTCACTCACTCACTCAGACACTCACTCAGACACTCACTCAGACACTCACTCACTCACTCAGACACTCACTCACTCAGACACTCACTCAGACACTCACTCACTCAGACACTCACTCACTCAGACACTCACTCACTCAGACACTCACTCACTCAGTCACTCAGACACTCACTCAGACACTCACTCACTCAGACACTCACTCAGACACTCACTCAGACACTCACTCACTCACTCAGACACTCACTCACTCAGTCACTCAGACACTCACTCACTCAGTCACTCAGACACTCACTCAGACACTCACTCACTCACTCAGACACTCACTCAGACACTCACTCAGTCACTCACTCACTCAGACACTCACTCAGACACTCACTCACTCACTCAGACACTCACTCACTCAGACACTCACTCACCCCCCTCACCACTCACCACCCTCACCCCCTCACCTTAGCGAGGCTCCGATCTCTCGTCCCGGCTCCTCTGATCACAATCTGGACACTCACTCAGACACTCACTCACTCAGACACTCACTCAGTCACTCAGACACTCACTCACTCAGACACTCACTCAGTCACTCACTCAGTCAGACACTCACTCACTCAGTCACTCAGACACTCACTCAGACACTCACTCACTCAGACACTCACTCAGACACTCACTCAGACACTCACTCATACACTCACTCACTCAGTCACTCACTCACTCAGACACTCACTCACTCATACACTCACTCACTCAGACACTCACTCAGACACTCACTCACTCAGACACTCACTCACTCAGCCACTCACTCACTCAGACACTCACTCACTCAGACACTCACTCACTCAGACACTCACTCAGACACTCACTCACTCAGACACTCACTCACTCAGACACTCACTCAGACACTCAGACACTCACTCACTCAGTCACTCACTCAGACACTCACTCTGACACTCACTCACTCAGACACTCACTCACTCACACACTCACTCAGACACTCACTCACTCAGACACTCACTCACCCCCTCACCACTCACCCCTCACCTTAGCGAGGCTCCGATCTCTCGTCCCGGTTCCTCTGATCACAATCTGGACACTCACTCAGACACTCACTCAGACACTCACTCACTCACTCAGACACTCACTCAGACACTCACTCACTCAGACACTCACTCACTCAGACACTCACTCACTCAGACACTCACTCACTCAGTCACTCAGACACTCACTCAGACACTCACTCACTCAGACACTCACTCAGACACTCACTCAGACACTCACTCACTCACTCAGACACTCACTCACTCAGTCACTCAGACACTCACTCACTCAGTCACTCAGACACTCACTCAGACACTCACTCACTCACTCAGACACTCACTCAGACACTCACTCAGTCACTCACTCACTCAGACACTCACTCAGACACTCACTCAGACACTCACTCACTCACTCAGTCACTCACTCACTCAGACACTCACTCAGACACTCACTCAGACACTCACTCACTCACTCAGACACTCACTCACTCAGACACTCACTCAGACACTCACTCACTCAGACACTCACTCACTCAGACACTCACTCACTCAGACACTCACTCACTCAGTCACTCAGACACTCACTCAGACACTCACTCACTCAGACACTCACTCAGACACTCACTCACTCACTCAGACACTCACTCACTCAGTCACTCAGACACTCACTCACTCAGTCACTCAGACACTCACTCAGACACTCACTCACTCACTCAGACACTCACTCAGACACTCACTCAGTCACTCACTCACTCAGACACTCACTCAGACACTCACTCAGACACTCACTCACTCAGACACTCACTCACTCAGACACTCACTCACCCCCCTCACCACTCACCACCCTCACCCCCTCACCTTAGCGAGGCTCCGATCTCTCGTCCCAGATCCTCTGATCACAATCTGGACACTCACTCAGACACTCACTCACTCAGACACTCACTCACCCCCCTCACCACTCACCCCCCTCACCACTCACCACTCACCACCCTCACCACTCACCACCCTCACCACTCACCACCCTCACCCCCTCACCTTAGCGAGGCTCCGATCTCTCGTCCCGGCTCCTCTGATCACAATCTGGACACTCACTCAGACACTCACTCACTCAGTCACTCAGACACTCACTCAGACACTCACTCACTCACTCAGACACTCACTCAGACACTCACTCACTCACTCAGACACTCACTCAGACACTCACTCACTCAGACACTCACTCAGACACTCACTCACTCAGTCACTCAGACACTCACTCAGACACTCACTCACTCAGACACTCACTCAGACACTCACTCAGACACTCACTCACTCACTCAGACACTCACTCACTCAGTCACTCAGACACTCACTCAGACACTCACTCACTCACTCAGACACTCACTCAGACACTCACTCAGTCACTCACTCACTCAGACACTCACTCAGACACTCACTCAGACACTCACTCACTCAGACACTCACTCACCCCACTCACCACTCACCACCCTCACCACTCACCACCCTCACCCCCTCACCTTAGCGAGGCTCCGATCTCTCGTCCCAGATCCTCTGATCACAATCTGGACACTCACTCAGACACTCACTCACTCAGACACTCACTCACCCCCCTCACCACTCACCCCCCTCACCACTCACCACTCACCACCCTCACCACTCACCACCCTCACCCCCTCACCTTAGCGAGGCTCCGATCTCTCGTCCCGGCTCCTCTGATCACAATCTGGACGCGACTCCCCACCGCGGCCTCGCCTCCCCGAGGAGCCTCGGCCTCGCCTAGACGCACGCCCACCCCGAAGAGCTCCGCCAGGCGGGGGCCGTGGCGGAGCACCCGGCCCGCCGCGGACGCCGGGATATCCACGGGCTCCTCGCACATCGCTCGTCACGCGCCTCGCCCGCTCTCTCCTCCTCCTCCCTTCCTCCCCTGTCCCACCAACCCCTTGCCTGGGGTCTCAGCGGCGCCACCAACCCCACCGCCACCAACCCCACCACCACCAATCCCAGCACCACCAACACCAGCACCACCACCACCAACCGCTGGGGTCTCAGCAGAGTAGCAGCAGCAGCAGCACCAACAACCACCACCACCAACCACCACCACCAACCACCACCACCAACCCCAGCACCACCACCAGCACCACCAACCACCACCACCAACCACTACCAATCCCAGCACCACCACCAGCACCACCACCAACCACCACTAATCCCAGCACCACCACCACCACCAGCACTACCACCACCACCAACCACCACCAATCCCAGCACCACCACCAATCCCAGCACCACCACCAACCACCACCAATCCCAGCACCACCACCAACCACCACCAATCCCAGCACCACCACCAACCACCACCAATCCCAGCACCACCACCAACCACCACCAATCCCAGCACCACCACCAACCACCACCAATCCCAGCACCACCACCAACCACCACCAATCCCAGCACCACCACCAACCACCACCAATCTCAGCACCACCACCAACCACCACCAATCCCAGCACCACCACCACCACCAACCACCACCAATCCCAGCACCACCACCACCAATCCCAGCACCACCACCACCAATCCCAGCACCACCACCACCAATCCCAGCACCACCACCACCAATCCCAGCACCACCAACCACCACCACCAACCCCTGGGGTCTCAGCAGCAGCACCACCAACCCCAGCACCACCACCAACCCCCCCCCCCGGTCTCTTCCAAAGCCGCGGCAGTCTGAACGTCACGCCCCGGTGCCTGTCCGTTGTACGGAATGCAATGGGCCATCCTTGTCTGTTGTACGGATTGCAATGGGGCGCGCTTATCTGCTATGGAGATTGCAATGGGACATCCTTGTCTGTTGTGCGGATTGCAACGGGGTAGCCTTATCCGGTGTACGGATTGCAATGGTATATTCTTATCTGTAATAGAGATTTCAATGGGTTGTTCTTATCTGTTGTACGTATTACAGTGGAGCATCCTTATCTGTTGTACGGATTGCAATCGGATATTCTTATCCGATGTACGTATTACAGAGGTATATTCCTATGTACAAACTTTCCTGAGTGTAGGAATTCATTATTCTTGGTTCTTTCGGTAAAGTCACGGAGATAAAAATTTTTTTAAATAAAATAAAAAATAACAAAATTAAATACACATTTAAGTAAAAATAATAAAAGTTAATAAAATTAAAAATTAAAAAGACCGCTTGTGTTGCGATCGAAACGTCGTGGGTTTTTTAACTTTCATTTTAAATTTATTATTTTTAATATTATTTTATTTTTTTCTATCTACTTTACCGAAATAACGAATTATATATTATCTGCAGTAGACACTGCAAAGGGATTTCCTCATCTGTAGTGCAGATTATAATGGGATATTCTTATCCGTAGTGGAGATTGCAATGCGACGTTCTTATGTTGTACGTATTCCAAAGGGATATTATCCGGAGTGGAGATTGCAATGGGATATACTTATCTGCTGTACGGATTACAACGAGTGAGTTAATTTCGATTTAAAGCTTTAGCGACTGCAGTGATTAATATTCTTGGTTCTTTCGGTAAAGTCACGTAGAAGGGAAACAATAAAATAATTAAAATATAAATATATATAAAAAACTATATATTGTATTATTTTATATATGTTTTATATATTTTATTATTTTGCTTCCCTTCAACGTGGCTATACCGGAAATAATTAAATATATAACAATTAAATATATTGTTTAATAAAAAATATATAAAACAAGATAATATATTATTTTATTTAGGTAAACAAAATAACAAAGTATATATAAAACAATAAAGTATATTTTTATATATATTTTTATTATTTTATTGCTTATATATTTTTCATTATTTTATTGTTTTTTTTAATATATATTTTTATTATTATTTTATTGTTTCCCTTCAACGTGACTTTACCGAAAGAACCAAGAACACAAGTAGCCTTAGGAATAGGTTTTACCCTTTTAACTGGCACAAAAACTGACACCTTTATTCAAGGCATCATGTTTGCAATAACCACAACACAAGCGGTCAAAACGCAAACAAAAAAGACAACTCTGATAATAATAATATTGGCACTGTCCTTGAATTTGATTGGTCCACACCCGAGACAGCTTTTCTTAGAGCCCCTTTAGTCTCTCCATTGGTGTTGGACCAGAAGACGCCAAAAGGCGTCACACAACTCAAAAACAGCAGCGCACTATCAGAGTTATTGAGGGCTCGGGGTGAGCATTTACATTATGAGACCTCCTTTGCCAGTAACGAGATATAGGAATAGGTTTTACCCTTTTAACTGGCACAAAAAACCTATTCCTATATCTTGTTACTGGCAAAGGAGGTCTCATAATGTAAATACTCACCCCGAGCCCTCTACTCTGATAGTGGCGCTGTTTTTGAGTTGTGTGACGCCTTTTGGCGTCTTCTGGTCCAACACCAATGGAGACTAAAGGGCTCTAAGAAAAGCTGTCTCGGGTGTGGACCAATCAAATTCAAGGACAGTGCCAATATTATTATCAGAGTTGTCTTTTTTGTTTGCGTTTTGACCGCTTGTGTTGTGGTTATTGCAAACATGATGCCTTGAATAAAGGTGTCAGTTTTTGTGCCACTTAAAAGGGTAAAACCTATTCCTATATCTTGTTTCTGGCAAAGGAGGTCTCATAATGTAAACAAGTAGCCTTTTTAACAAGTAGGCTTTCGCGACCAATATTCATAATAAAGGTTTTTTTGGGGGTTAGATCGCGTTTATTTATAAATGTGTCGTAACCCTCCACCACCCGACACGGCCAATCAGCAAAAAAAAGTGTCACGTTGACAAAAAGACACAAATGGTTCACTACTTTAGCCCACCGGTGTGTTGTTGAAGAGTGAATCCACAACATTTACAGTTTGAGTAGTACTGTGACGTTTCGCTGGTAAATACATCCCCAGCAATCATCATCGGGCAATTCGCCAGAATGGTAAAGCCCTCTCCACTTGCTCCCGGTTTTATATAGAGAGCAGGGTGACGGCATCACTTAACTCATATCAGGTGCAGTGATTAGAGGCGGAGGGGGGGTATTGTAATTATATAATCGATTAGTAATCAGTCATTGGTTATGATTAGTAATGAGTTGTAGATTAGTAATTCTTTAAATAATAATACGCTTCCAGGCCGCACTTTGCTGATTGGCCTTGTTGGGTGGTGGAGGGTTACGACACATTTATCAATAAACGTGATCTAACCCAAAAACCTTTATTATGAACAAGTAGCCTTCCTCAGGTGAAGGGACAGAACCGTCGGGACGACAGCGCTCCCAGTGAACACCGCTGAGCTTGGCAGCGCCTTGACAAAGGAGTTTACATATCAGCAGAGGAGTTTAGAATTGAAGTAGCTATGTTAAAGTCAGAGCTTACATATCAGCAGAAGAATTTAGCATTGAAATAGCTAAGTTAAAGTCAGAGTTTACATATCAGCAGAGGAGTTTAGCATTGAAGTAGCTAAGTTAAAGTCAGAGTTTACATATCAGCAGAGGAGTTTAGCATTGAAGTGGCTAAGTTAAAGTCAGAGTTTACATATCAGCAGAGGAGTTTAGCATTGAAGTAGCTATGTTAAAGTGTTGGATCAGCAGGGTGTTAAAGTCAGAAATTAGCATGTAACTGGGAGATTAGCAGGATGTTAAAGTGAGGATTTAGCATGTAACTGGGAGATTAGCAGGATGTTAAAGTGAGGATTTAGCATGCAACTGGGAGATTAGCAGGATGTTAAAGTGAGGATTTAGCATGTAACTGGGAGATTAGCAGGATGTTAAAGTAAGGATTTAGCATGTAACGGGGAGATTAGCATGATGTTAAAGTAAGGATTTAGCATGTAACTGGTCACGGAAGTGGCTATGTTAAAGTCAGAGTTTACATATCAGCAGAGGAGTTTAGCATTGAAGTGGCTATGTTAAAGTCAGAGTTTACATATCAACAGAGGAGTTTATCATTGAAGTAGCTATGTTAAAGTCAGAGTTTATATATCAGCAGAGGAGTTTAGCATTGAAATAGCTAAGTTAAAGTCAGAGTTTACATATCAGCAGAGGAGTTTAGCATTGAAGTGGCTATGTTAAAGTCAGAGTTTACATATCAACAGATGAGTTTATCATTGAAGTAGCTATGTTAAAGTCAGAGTTTACATATCAGCAGAGGAGTTTAGCATTGAAGTGGCTATGTTAAAGTCAGAGTCTACATATCAGCAGAGGAGTTTAGCATTAAAGTGGCTATCTTAAAGTCAGAGTTTACATATCAGCAGAGGAGTTTAGCATTAAAGTAGCTATGTTAAAGTCAGAGTTTACATATCAGCAGAGGAGTTTAGCATTGAAGTAGCTATGTTAAAGTCAGAGTTTACATATCAGCAGAGGAGTTTAGCATTGAAGTAGCTATGTTAAAGTCAGAGTTTACATGTCAACAGAAGAATTTAGCATTGAAATAGCCGTGTTAAAGTCAGAGTTTACATATCAGCAGAGGAGTTTAGCATTGAAGTAGCTATGTTAAAGTCAGAGTTTACATATCAGCAGAGGAGTTTAGCATTGAAGTGGCTATGTTAAAGTCAGAGTTTACATATCAGCAGAGGAGTTTAGCATTAAAGTGGCTATGTTAAAGTCAGAGTTTACATATCAGCAGAGGAGTTTAGCATTGAAGTAGCTATGTTAAAGTCAGAGCTTACATGTCAACAGAAGAATTTAGCATTGAAATAGCCGTGTTAAAGTCAGAGTTTACATATCAGCAGAGGAGTTTAGCATTAAAGTAGCTATGTTAAAGTCAGAGTTTACATATCAACAGAAGAATTTAGCATTGAAATAGCCGTGTTAAAGTCAGAGTTTACATATCAGCAGAGGAGTTTAGCATTAAAGTAGCT